AACAACTAAAATTGCCTTATATTTCCCAGAACCAAGTTGCCAGGTCACTCTAGGCATCTCCATACCTCATACCCCTTCCTATCTTCCCTTTAAATGTTTTTTTTTTCTCTGCCTATTGGAATGTAAATTCCTTAAGGTCACAGACTCCCTTGCTTGTATTTGTATCTCAAGTATTTAATACTGTGCCCGGCACATAGAAAACACTTAAATGTATCATTTATCTATTACAGATTCCCTGACTTACTTGCTACTTTTAAATTTAAGGATTTTTTTCAATCCACAAGCATTTGCTCTCTCTCTCCTGAAAAACAACATCAGCTCCCCAGAAACAAATAAGCACAGTCAGATAAAAAACAAATTCACACATTGACCATGTCCAAAAATACATTTCATCCTGTATCTTGAGGCCATTGATTCCCTCTCAGGAAGTAGGTGGCATCCTTTTATTCCTTTGGGATCATTCTGACCTGTTCTTTAATTCTGTTTCAGGAATAAGAAAAGTCCACCTCTATTCCACTAGGGTCCTCCCAAGCATCTGCCCCATGGCCTTCCCTAGCACCTGCAGGTTTCTTCCAACCACTTTGAGTCACCCAATACTGATTAGTAATAGCTTAAGTTTCAAAGGTTTTTCCTCCTAAATCATCTCATTGGGGGAGGGAAAAACCCAGCCACCCCAACCTCCTAGGAGCAGACAGCTGGGTATAGGGAAAAATGGGAGGGGGGGAGAAGTAATTTTTTTTCTGATGCCTTTCTCTGACTCCCCTAAGTTCTCATGAGCCTGTGAGCCACTTAATAACCACTGGGAAATGAGGGGGAGAGGCTGCTCAGTGGTTGGTGGATCCAGGACAATAGACACTAATTGGTTCCATTATAGATAGCTTGGTCAGAAAGACCTGGGAATGAATGCACATGAATATGAATGGACCGATGCTATCCTTTCACCACTTAGAGGTGGTCCTTCTTAGAAAAGAAGATGGATAGAAAGTTCAAAGCAAGGAAGCTTGCACAGGCCTGACAGTTCTGAGGCCAAAAAGGATCTGACTTTAGGGCTGTCTCATTATAGACTTTCTTAATTACTCCAAATACCTTACGTTACAGCCAATCAAAGGGCCACTTCCTCCACCCCTGGCAGGTAAAAGTCTATCCAAAATAAGTAAGAAAGAATACTGATTATATTTACTTCTCTATCCATACCTTCTATCTCTCCATTCCCCTACCCCACAACACACAATACACACACACACACACACACACACACACACACACACACACACAGAGTAGGGGAGAGCAAATTAGTTTAATATGCCAAACAAATCAAAGAGAACCAGTATCCTTTAATCTTAGGTTTTCAATTTACTCTGTCATTGGAGTTTGTGTATTGTTTTGTCTGTTGCTTGTAGCAATCCTTTTCTGGTTTTTAGAGAGAAAACTTGAAAGATGTTATTAGTATTATCTTCAAAATTCTATAATTGGTATAATTTGCTACCAATTCTATAATTCTGTAATTGTTGGCTCTCCCTGGTTAGGGAGGAGGGGGTGGTATAGACAAAGATGTCATTAGCCATTGAAATCTACAACTAACAGTAATCTTAAAGACATTTCAGCCAATAGCTTTAGCCGATTACAAAATGTTTTACCAGAGCTACAAAAACCACAGCTCGAACACTGGTTGGGGTTTTAGTACCCTTGTCCTGCCTCTACCTTCTGATGCTTTTACAACACATAAAAATAGTCACTAAATGGACAGGCTGCCAGGGTGAGGATGAGAAGCCTGGAGCTAGAGAATCCACAGGCTAGGATTATGTTCTGGAATAATCAAGAGTTGGCAATGTCAGCAGAAGCTTGGACTATAGTCATGATTTAAGATCATAAACTTAAAGAATGTTAGAGCTGGGAGTGACCCCAAAGATTGAGCATCTTAATCAGAGTCATAACTAGGGTGGGGTGACCAGTACTTTATCCAGGAAGCTATAATTTAGAGGGTGCCAAAATGTAAAAGACTGAATAATTGTAAAATTTGTTACATTTTGGACAGCATCTTCTCTCTTTCAGCAACTTAGAAATAAGTGAGCTTACCACTTGGTTACCAAGAATAATTAAGCTGGAAACTCCCAGATCGTGCCCTTTCTATAACCCTTATTTCCATCCCGAAGGCCACATACCAGGTGAGTGGCTCCCTGTTCCCACCCTCTTCCCTCTGTCCCGCTCAGCCACGTAAGCCTCCCCAGCAGCCTCTTGTCTCAGAGGGGTCTCCCTCTGTCCTTCCACTTTGTCTTGTAGATTTCCACGTCATAAATTACAAAGCTGATCTAAAGGCACATTTTGTGCTGCATACTTTGGATGTCAAAATTGTTACCTACAGGTCTGCTTCTAATCTAACTCATTCACTTTACAGATAGGAAAACACAGAACCACAGAGATTAAACGGCTTTCTCAAGGTCATGCTATCATAAAAGCAATCAGTTCTCAAGTTTCCTCATCTAGTGAAGGGAAGCACATTCTTTCAAATCTCATGGTGAAGAAGAGGAGGCATTTCCCCTGAGCACGATGGAGTATCAGAGCCACTGTGCAGAGGCCTGGAGCCCCAACTCTTGCCTACAATGTGAGTGGTCTTCCCAAGTATGTAGGGTTCTCCACTTTGAGGTTCCCTGAAGCCCCAGATTACTTCCCAAAACAATCATAGAAACTTGTTGCCAAGGTCACAAAGGCTATGTGCCTCTTTGATTTAGAAAACTGGAGAGAGGGTTGGGGGAGGCAGGACTTACAGGTTTGGCCATGCCTAGTCTCACCTATAGTCACTGACCAAATGGCTATTTTTTTTTCACTACCTCTACTCCTCCTGAAGATCAGCTAGGTGGCACAGGGATAGAGTGTCATGCCCAGAGGCAGGAAGATTCATCTTTCTGAGTTCAAATCTGGCCTCAGACACTGACCCTGGGCAAATCACTTACCCCTGTTTGCCTCGGTTTCCTCATGTATAAAGTGAGCTGGAGAAGGAAATGGCAAACCACTTCTGTATCTCTGCCAAGAAAACCCCAAATGGGGTCACAAAGAGTCAGACATGAATGAAAATTACTGAACAACAACAACTCCTCCTAAAAGTTTGATTACTGGTATAATGGACTGTTTTCAATGTAACTGGCAATATAATTTATTAGTGACCACAGCCTTTGAAACTTTATTTCATTGAGTTTTTTTTTTTTTTTTTTTTTATGTGAGGCACGTTTAAAAATGCTTCAAAAAAGGAGATCTTTCCCAGTTATTCCTGGGCACATCTTCAGAAGCTCCCTTCACCCTTGGCTCCCTCTCCCCTCTCCCATACAGAATGATAAGTATGCATATCATCTAAGCAACTCCTAGATTTCAGCAAGAAATACAAAAGAAAACTTCTACCCTTTGGAAATCTGTTTATTTTCTAGTTTAAAAAAAGGAAAAAAAGGGTCTCTGAGAAATTTCCAGCTGGGAGCCCAGAGTTTAAACATACCACCTCCATCTTTATAAGTGATGATACACTTTGTTCTCTGTCCTTAGTCTTTGTACTAGAGGTCAAGGCCATTTAAAAAAAATGTTTTCTTAGAATCAGAGAGTCAAAGGAAGCTTAGATGTTATGTAATTCAAGACTTTCATTTAAAGATAGGGAAACTGAAGCCAGGAAGGATCAGTGGTTTTCCCAAGGCTATCCAGGTAGCTTATGATAGAGCTAGGGCCAGAATTCAGGTCCACTTATTTCTAGAATACTGCTCACTTTATTTCTTTTTTTATTATGAACTTGACAGACATTAACAAACATCAACACTTCCACATTCAAAGACAAACAGAAAAGAAGATTGTATGGGTAACTCTGGCCTCTTTCACATATGTAGTTTCTTTTTTTCTAAGTCTATGTTAAAGTTAACATGGTGGTATCCACATTTCCCTTCTGAACTCAGGTCCTCTCTTCTATGTATTTTAAATTTTTCATTGACATTGTTTTCCTTGTTTTTTCCTTTTCATCTCAATCACTGTGCACCCATTCTCCCTAAAATAAAAGCCTCCTCTTGTAATAAGTAAGTATTGTCAAACCAAACAAATTCACACATTGGTCATGCCTTAAAATGTATATCTCATTCTGCATCACTACCAAGAAGTGGGCAGCATACTTTATCACCAGTCTTTGGAGCTGGGACTAGTCAGTGTTTTTTCCCCTCTATTAGAATCCCTCTAATTGAATATACAGATGAAACACAATGAAAAAAATGTACAAGATCACAGAATACCTTACACCTGATGTACTGCATCTTACTACACTTAATCTATCATTCAGTTCAGTCACTGATTCAAAAGGCATTTTTACTATGCATAGGGCACTATGCTAATTGTTATAGATGCAAAGACAAAAAAAAAAAAAGAAAAAGAAACAATCCCTTGTCCTCGAGGAGCATGCATTCTATTAAGGGAATAAATAAACATTTATTCTGCATCTATGTGCGTTAGGCACTACACTAAGCATGAGGGATACAATAAAACACTACACAAGTAAACACAAAGCATATACAAAGTAACAAAGGGTAACTTTAAGAGGGTGAGAAGGAGTGAGGGACAGATCCTCTTCCCCAGCGTCTTCCTGTTCTAGAGCAGCAGGTTTTAAACCTTTTTTATGATATGATCCCTTTGGTGGTCTGGCAAAGGAGGAAGAACCTGACCTGTACTCTGGAAGAGTCTTCAAATTACCTGCCCTCAAGAAGCTTACATTCTACTGGAATGGCTGTAGCTTCACCGTCTACACCTGCAGTGCGGTCACCCTTACTCATGTGACTAACCTAAGGACAGAAGTCTGGCTGTAAGGGGGGCGGGCAGTGGACAGAAGAGTAAAGGTCAATAAACGATTCATCTGGGGACTTAGCATTCAACAGCTCATTTTTTCTCCTCTGTAAAATGGGGGTGCAGGGCTGCTGGAAGGCAAGCATTTTGTAACGCTATCAGATGTATGGAAATGAGAGCCATTGTTGTGGTTTCCTTACCCGACGGTGCCATCTGCCAGCCAGCCGGTAGTGCACGTGGCAAAGGAACATTCCAGCACAGCTCGCCGTAGCTCTGCGGCGGTAGCCAGGTGAGCGCCAGAGGCTGCACAGGAGGTCCGAGCCACAGACAGATCCAGGCCCTGAGAGCCATTCCAGGATTCCAGCACAAAGAGTTTCCCTGCAGGAGAACACACAGACACAAGCATGCAAATCAGTCTGAGCAAGAGGAGCACCTGTCCTGGTCTATTTCTGGGGGCCAGGTACCTGGCAAGCCATCCTACTCCCCAAGGTATTTCCATTCTAGAACACCAGTTTTTAACCTTTTTTGTGTGTGTTTTGGGCCCCTTAGGCAGCCTAGCAAAGCCTATGGACCCCTTTGAAGAAGAATACTTTTAAATGCCTAAAATAAGATGCATAGGATTGCAAAGGAAACCAATTATATGAATACATTTTTTTTAAAAAGTTCCTTGGTTCCAAGTTAAGACTCTTAATTCTAAAAGACTCCAAAGCCCTTTAACCAGACCATTCCCCTGTTATGCATCATTTCATCACATCATAGTATCCTATCCTAGATTTAGCCCTTAGAAATTATCCACCCACACGTACAAAAATATTTACAGCAGTTCTTTTTGTGGTGGCAAAAAATTAGAAATTGAGGGGATGCCCATCAATTGGGGAATGACTGAACAAGTTGTGGTACATGAATGTAATAGAATATTGTTGTTCTATAAGAAATGATGAGCAGGCAGATTTCAGAAAAACCTGGAAAGACTTGCACGAACTGATGCTGAGTGAAGTGAGCAGAACCAGGAGAACGTTGTACACAGTGACAGCAACATTGTGCAATGATTAACTATGATGGATTTAGCTTTTCTCAGCAATACAATGATCCAAGACAGTTTCAAAAGACTTGTGATGGAAAATGCTATCCACATCCAGAGAAAGAACTATGGAGTCTGAATGCAGATTGAAGCATGCCATTTTCACTTTTTTTTGGTTTCTTTTTCTTTCTCATGGTTTTTCCCTTTTGTTCTGATTCTTCTTTCACAATATGACTAATGTGGAAATATGTTTAATATGATTGTACATGTATAACCTATATTAGATTGCTTGCTATCTTGAGATGGGGGGAGGGAAGGAGGGAGAAGAATTTGGAGCTCAAAATTTTACAAAAATGAATGTTGAAAATTTTTACATGTAATTAAAAAAATAAAATATTATTAAGGAAAAAAAACCATCCAGTATAGATGAGGAAACTGAGGCAGAGGTGAAGTGACATGCCCAGTGTCACACAACTGGTAAGTATCTGAGGCAGGATTTGAACTCGGGTCTTCCTGACTCCAACTGGTGGACATTTCAAATCCATTTTGGATATGAATAACTTGAGAGAGAGATGTAGGATCAGAGGGCAAGGGGAAGGTAGAGAATAGTTTGCTGATTCTTAATCTAAAGATTCAAACTGTTTTACCTACCTCCCAAGGTAGTTGTGAGAATCAAATGAGATAATAATTGTAAAGCACTTAGAACAGTGCCTGGCACAAAGTAAGTGCTATATAAATGTTAGCTATCATTATCATCATCATCACCATCATCTTCATCATCATCATCTTATTTGAGCTTCTCCACAACCCTAGGAGATAGGTACAGTTATTATCCCTATTTTGTGGGTGAAGAAATAGAGACCCAGAGAAGTCACATGCTGGCCCAGGATCACACAGCTAGTAAATATTAGAGGTGGGATATGAATCCAGATCCTACCAATTTTAGATTTAGTCCCCTTTCTGCACTATACTTCACCACCTCTAAAATTGATTTATTAGTTAGAACCAGTCCACTGAGGACTTTTATTGAACCACACTTTCTTAGTCTAAAGTTGGTTACTGTATATTTTGGTAAATACAAAAAAACTTTTTTTTAAAATTAAAAAACTATATAAATGCTGACTTTTGGTTATATAAATTGGCAAAATTTACCCAGAAACTCAGGGTAACCTGTTTCCTTCTGAGGCTTTTAAACACACTGCTGTGTTTCACGTCTGATATCCACTTGATACCTCTCTGCACCCCATCTGCCACAAGGAAGATAAAATGTCCTCTAATCTGGGATGGAGTTAACTAAAAAGGCTTTGGGAATTGCCTAAGAGTAATGACAACTCCTCCCCTGGTTACCCTTAGGTAGGATCTAAAACTTGAATTCAGAAAGACAACTTTGAAAAAAATGTTCTAAATCATTTCAAAGACAACTTTGAAAAATGTTCTAAGTGAACTTAGAACTCAGTCAGTCAAAGTCTCCAGTGAGACTTTACTGAATATACAAATACAAATATTTCTCTGTAGTCATATATAGACATATTCTCTCTCTCTCTCTCTCTCTCTCTCTCTCTCTCTCTCTCTCTCTCCATCCCTCTGTCTGTCTCTGTCTCTGTCTCTTTTACTACCAAATTTTTTCTCCCCTAAGGCTTTAAAAGAGACAACTGAAATGGCCCTAAAATTAGAATTTGTCTTCTTGATGGACCAGCTTCTGGCCAAAAGATGAAGTCAGTCCCTAAATGGAGCTTATGTCAGTTAAGCTGGGGTTTGGATTGAGTGGTTTGTGGGCAAATAAAGATGACCTATAATACTGTTTTTGCCCTATTCAAACTTAAAAAAAAAAACACCTTCCCCTCTCGCTTCTTTCTTTGGTCTTTCTGTTTTATTTCAGAGTTTGGTTGGTTTAGTTTCTGTTTGGAAATCTTTGCTGCTATCCTCATGCCATGATTCTGGTTTTTCACTTCAAGAAGAACTTGGACCATTACTCCTTTGTTCATACCACATGTCAGCATCATTTCTGAAATTGGTTTAATTTGAACACACATGCACATATACATGTATGTGTGTATACACACATATATGTATATACACATGGCAAGAATATCACTAAATATACACCTACATTTGACATAGCTTTCAGAAATCCTGTGGCATAGTTGTCTCTGCTAAAATCTTCCCAGAAGGTCAACTGGAATTCCTCATTCCATGCCTGCAGTCTGATAAAATGCTAAGAAACCTAGGCAAATAGCCTCTCTCCTTCCCATTCCCAGAAGCCAGCTCACTTTTGGTCAAACTTGACCATCTGGACCTATATCAACCCAGGGTTTGTCTCAAAACCTCCTGACCGTGTCACCCCAACGTACTCCAGAGTGAGGCAAAACTCCTTTTTTTTCCTTTTCTTTTTTCTTTCTTTCTTTTTTTTTTTTTTGGTAGGCAATGGGGTTAAGTGACTTGCCAGGGTCACACAGCTAGTAAGTGTCAAGTGTCTGAGGCCAGATTTGAACTCAGGTCCTCCTGACTCCAAGGCCAGTGCTCTATCCACGGCACCAGCCAGCTGCCCCCGGAGCTCCAAAGTTGGTATTTTCACCAAGCCAAACTCCTTGGTTAAT